GCACCAAGACCTGACGAGAGTAGCAGGTGCTTGTGGTTTAAAAACAACAAGAGAAGATAGTACCAAACTGCGAATAATATTATATAACTCAAAAAGATTGCACAACTCTTTTACAACAGAGAAAAATGTGTAAAAATTTATAAAATCTGACAAATTAATTCATTTATTCTACGGTGATTCGGGAATTCAGTGAATAAATGAATGCGATTTATCAGTTTCTTCCACATATCCCACAGAGCAAGAATTTAGGCTGAAGATAATCTGGAATAAACTTTAGGAATTTTGACAATGAATCAAGGCTATAGCGTAAATTCAGACCTCACGGTACAATTTAAATCAAAATAAGACAACTCGACAGATGAGTGGAATTCACCACATGCGATAAAGAAGTGAAAATGAACAAACATAAGGGTTTAGGTCCCGCATAAGTGGTCACGCACATCCGATGTATCACCGCTTACTAGAGCCTGAAAAAAAGACGGTGTATGGCGTCTCGATATTGGGTTCCATAGCACAACCGGTTTTCAGGCCATCTTGTAGACAGTATCCACAAACAGTCGCCATATTAGCCGTAGTCAAGGAAGGATGAGTTTGAGACTGCTGTTTAAAGCAACCGGATGAAATCGGATTAATTGGTACAAAAAACGTAGCTGGGTGATATTCCGATTCAGAGGAGCTCGCCAATTTCATGTCACGCATGAGCCGTGAGGCGTGTCTACAATAGGGACAACAGGCCGGACAGGCTGGCAAAACAATCGGACAGTCTTTTTTGTGTGGCGTGAACTCCTGAGAAGAACGTTGGTCGGAACGTTTGTTAGGGGTCCATCCAACTGCCTGATCTATCTCTTTCATGTCAGGCGATATGTTACTGCGTGTTCCAGTTGGAGGCAAACTAAGGGAGTGATAAGATTGTGTAGACTGACGTGTGCGATATTGAAATGGGGATGCCGATGTGGAAGAGTTGGACCAACAAGCAAGAGGTTCGCGTGAGTATAGCTTTAGATTATCAGAAATAAGGCAACTGGTAGGCACAATTTTTGAAGCAATATTGGCGTATGAAGTGGTAGGTGGAAAAAGATAATTAGATGAGTACGATAGCTGAGAGGCCAGGGCTGTATCATGATCTGGTCTCAATACCTCTTGAAATTTACTATTGTCGAAATTTAGGTGCTTCTTATACAACGGAGCCATGGGAGGATCAAAGTTGATGTGGAATTGATGAGCAAAGTCAGGTGAACTAGAGAGATTGAGTGCAGATGGAGAGTGGCTGTAGGCCTCGTATGATTTAGATAGAGGCTGATTGATAGTACAGGAATGACTTCGTTGAGAAGATGGAGAACGCGGATGTGGATAACCAAGAAAATGATTCCATTTTCTCCATTTCTCAAGTGCATTTCCATTTTCTCCATAAAACTCCTCTTCCTCAGCTACATGCCTAGCTTCTTCATTTTGATAGCTTCCCTGCAGATA